CGTAATTGGGCCGATCAGTCGCTCGATGACGACCTGGACGATGAACCCACAGACTCCGGGGCGGCACCATCCGGTTCTTCGAGATCTAGGACACCGCCACCAAAGCCCCTGGCAGTCAAGCCCCCGCCACAATGCATTCGCGAGGACCCGTCTCAACGTAAACCACAATATGTTGAGTCAGGGCGGGTTGAAGAGTTCCTTCCTCACGGATTCTTCACAACGCCCCCGCCCGGACCTCGAAAGCCTCCACCACCGCCACCACCGGCTCAGGTGCCAAAACCCAAGCCGATGCCTGAGCGACCACCGCGGTCTTCGAGCCCTGCTCCCGCAACCATCGCACAGGAGGCAACAGGCAGAGGCAGAGGTCACGGGTATCCGCCACCTCCTGCACCTTCCGCAACCGCGCCTCGCGCGGAGGAAGACCCTGCAGAAGCAGAACCAAGTGGCGGTAGCCTTGCGCCCCCAAATCGTGGCGAACCACCTCCTCCCATGACTCCAGATGACGATTCCCTGCCAACACGGGATCGCTATTTAGAGTTGTGGCAAAACGCCAATCACGTGTTTGATCAGCAGATGTGCGACCCACTCACGTTGACGCCACCCGGTTTGCCCCAGGAGTTGGAGGTCGGCCTTGATTTCCATAAGGTTCTAGATGCAATGCTAGTTCCTAAAATAGAGGTACCGACCCGCCAATGCATTGACGCCCTCATCTCCCTCGAGCGTCTTGGTGCCAGAATCACCATTATATCGTTCACGGGGCACGAAGGCTATTTGCGTGCTGCCTCTCAAACGCAGCACTTCCGAGACTGCGCTCGCGCAGCGGGGCTCCGTATGGGCGGAGGGATATTTTTAACTAATGCTAAGGTTGGCCCTCAGGGCAAGACCCCAATAATCACATCTAACGGCATCTGCGCATACGTAGATGATGACCCAGCCATTTGCAACGAGGCCAGACGCACCGGTTGCTACGTGTACCAATGCGATGCCTCGCGCCTTAACCAGCCGCATTCGGTCCTCCTTGATCTCGCTAACATGATAAGATCAAGAGGCATCCACAACTGGAAGCTGGCACATTTTCCTAAGGCACTGCAATCTGGCGAGTTCTCAGGCGAACCGAATCCCCACGGAGGAGGTCGCCGGAGACCAAGGGTCAGATAGCCGTCCTACAAGCCAGTAACCGCTGCTTTGCGCGGTCACTTTTCGTTCGTAGGACTGTTAGTTAGGTTGAGTGCAGTGAAACTGCAATCTCAATATCTTCAAGCCATTCTAGTTGAACTTTAGGTTATGCATCCAATTTTAACGGCTTCCAGCCCTAACTGGGGCTTTTCCAAATTGGAACTGGGCCCTGAGATTTGCTTGACCGCTCGCACTTTTCTGCCGCTTCCCCACAGCAGTGTTTGATCTAGAGAACAAAATGCTTTCATCAAAGCATAGCTTTAGGATGCCTTTGACATCATAGCGCAACAGGAACAGCGCATGAGTTGGCATCAACAGAGGCATAGGTAGCCCCCTCACAGGTAACGATGCGCCCACTGAGCATGCTCATATCCATTTGCAATGATCCACCTCAGATATTGGATGTTCCCCACTTGTGTCTAACAGTTATTTTTGATTTCCTTGCAAAAAATATGTTGCTGAGAAACTCTTTGCGGGCTTCCCACCCAGCTGACCTTGCTGAAGCAGAATCCATACCATCCCTTTTCTGTTCCTTTTGGACCTTGCAGTAAACCTGAGATGAAGGCGAGAAAAATAGTCAAAATTGCAAGGGACTGAAAGGACTGAGCCTAAGATCTAATTATAGTCTGGTGTTTGCTGTTGGAAAAGGTAATCATCCTTTGTCACATGATGGTTGCTGCACAGTTACGCAGTGCAACTTCTTCTTTGTCTCTGGGTCTGGCTGTGTTTGATCTGCCTGGGTGTCCATCGCCTTTTTGGATCTCTTGGTGGGTGCAGCTTTCGACTTCGGCGATGACTTGGCTGTAGCTGCTGGCCTGGGTGCCTTACTCTTCTGCTGGGTGCGCTGCTGCTTGGCTCCAGGCCTTTTCTTTGCTGATGGCTTCGGTACAGCCTTCAGCCCTAGGTTCATTTCACGAGTGTTTGTGGTGACTGGCTGTGCCTGAGCAGCGGTATTCAAATCCTCCTGTGCCCTTTCATCATCACCCAAAAGACCCTGCTTTCTTTCAGTAGCATGTTCAGCATGGGTTGGGGAGTGTGTTGGATCATCATCATCTACAATCTCCCCTTGGCCATCGTGGTCATCCACGAATTCCTGTTCCTGGTGGTCATCCACAGGTTTTGGTTCCTCTTCATCCGGTTCCTTTTCCTCATCCACAGGTTCCAGTTCATGTTGGCCATGTTCCTGTTGGTAATCCATAGTTCCAGATTCTTTTTGGTCATCTCGTAAAGTAGCTTCAAACTCGAAAGATTCCAGTTCCTGTTGGTCTGGGGTTTCAAACTCCACAGATTCCGGTACCTGTTGTTCATCACGCAGGGGAGCCTCAGACAAACCCTCTTCCATAGAGGCATGAACACCATCAGGAGGAGGGCAGGGAGCAGACTCAACATCTTTGCCAAATTCAAAGAAGTGTAAGCAAGCGTTGATGCCTGCGAGCGTTGCATCACACAGCTCCTGGTCCACAGCAACGAGGCTGGGAGGGGCCATAGACTCATCTCCAAAAAGGTTAACAGCCTTGGATAACATGTAACAGCTGCCATAGGATGACAAAATTCAAATTGGTTTCTAACCAGCTTTCAAAGTTCCGAGTAAGCCAAGCTACACGAATGGGCGTATCACCATCCAACGTATCACTACTATCCAATTGGGTCTCCTGGACAAACAATGGATCCGTGATGTTTTTGTATGCGAGCATACTTAAAACACAAACTCCTCCATTCCAGCCAGTAGATGTTAAAAGTAGTTAGTGCACACTTCTAGACGTTTCCTGCAGTGGCGCTGGTCCGCAATGGGTGTACGGATCCATGTTGGCAACGCCATCATCCGAGCCGGGACGCACAGCCTTGGTGGAAAGGAGGGCAAAAATGGGCGAACCACAATGACTCATAACCTCAAGGTCAGAGAATCTATGGCAAGGGGCCAGTGGAGATGGAGTGTAGAGCCCAAGTTGATTGTCTGGGTGGTAGCTTTCTTCCACCAACCTGGGAATCTGCAGGCATCGAAAGTATGGCAATGTATGCTACCGCCGTGTTGTATAGTGCATTGTGAATTCAATTCATGTTTAATATCTCCTAGATTCTCCAGTAGTTGTTGTTAAGCTGAAAAAAGTGTTGCCTGGACAAGTAACACAGCCCATTCCTGTTTCTTCTCAATCGCGTACGCAAAGGGCATGGGCAAGTTGTCGGTTTCAGCATCCTCAAAACGCTTGAGGATAGAGAGATAGGACATCCATTGTTTACAATTGAAACAATCTATTTATATATATGACTTGCTGCAGATATACAGTTATCACATCCAGCCCCCATACCTGCTATGGTCACCAAACATACACAAATTGTGATCATTGCTGGGTATTTCTTGAAATAACAAGTTTTGCAGTTGCTGTCCTCAGCATGTTTGCGAGCTTTCTGAGCGGGCCTCTTGGTGACGCTGCTGGTCGCAGGCCTCTTTCTGGGAGCCTTGCTGCCAGTAGACCCTAGCTCATTGGCTTCATCATCTTTTGAGCCTTCATCGTCATCACCCTCACCAGAATCATCACGATCCAACAACGGTTCATGATCATCATCAACCGGTGGTTTTTTTTGGTTTGCCCTTGCCCTTGGCCTTGGCCTTCCTTTTAGGTGTTGCCTTAGTTCCCCCAGGTTCATTCCCCTTACCATCGCCAGAAGAGTCATCAGATCCAACACGGCCAGGAAGAGCATGTGCCATGCCAGATCCTGGTAGGGCAAAACATGAACATAACAGGCAGGAAAGCTGGGGAATTCTGACGATGGTAAATAACACCTTCATGGTTAGCAATACCTACAGTTGGACAGAACAGAGCCACCAAGAGAAATGCTCTCCCCCTGTATGACATAGGACATAGGACCAGGACATCACCAGACCAAAGGTTTCCCAAACTCGCAAGACCCCCAAACAAGCCTTGCGCATGGCTCTCCGCTGAAGGCGTTTGCAGCTTTTTGGCGCAAGCCGCTGCAGAAGCAGGAGTGATTGGACTGGGTCGAGGAGGTGGGCTTTGCAAAGTGTTCGTTGAGAGCAGCCTGTTCAAATTGAAAGCCTTAGCCACCGGGCCGGGCTTTCATGAGATTTGATGAGACCTTCATGAGATTTCATCAACGACCCTTGATACAAGGTTTTTTTATAAGTACATTTTCTAATATATATATATATATAAGACCCTTGACCCATCAGATTCGTACAAGGGCTTAATATATTTGGTGGATTTTGGGCCAAGCAGCTGGTGGCCGGACACGTGCAGTCAAAGGGACTTCCACTACCGAGTCATCTTCGTCTTGAGACATGTCTACTGAGCTCAAGGACACCTTGTTTCAAAATCAGCTGCAGGAAGCATGTGTTTCCAAATCAAACCCACCACAGCTGCATTGCGCAGAGTGCTGCCGATATGTGAGGCGGTGTGTGTGTTCATGTTTGTTTTTTTCCAGGGCACATATGTTCTGCAATGAGACTGGCTGGCAGGGGACTGGGCGACAAAAAACAGATTTGTTTATTGGTATTTTGTACATCCAAAACGGGCAGAACAGTTTAAAATGAATTTGTTGCTATCCAGTCATTATATACACTGTATATAACCTAGTAACCGGTTTAAGATTAATACCCCCCACCAAAAGAGGGTAACGTGTTCCAAGGGAAGCTACTTGCTTCAGCCCTCAGCAATCCTGGTACAAAATTGCACTCACTTTGTGAGTGATCCGCACTGTGGATGCAACTTCATTCCTTGTCAGCAGATCTATTTATTATGTTTTTCTCTGAAACCCAAGGATTTCAGAAGCTGCGCGCATGCGGCCCCTCAGACTTAAGCAGCCTCTCAGACCAAGCACACCGTTTCGCTGTTCACTTCCAGCTGGTGCTTCAAGCACATCACTGGCCGGATCGGCATGATCAGCTTTGCCCCCTTCGAAGCAGCCCCGCTGTTGTCAATCCTTGCAACGGGCAACGGGGGGGGGACCAACCCTGCAATGGCAGCTGAATTGAAAACAGGGGGGTTGTAAGCGGTCAAACCAAAATGTTACATATGAAGGAAAGTGGCCGGCACCGCCACGCCAGGACCATATTGTCTGCATCCTTTATGGCCGGCACCGACACGAAGGCCCCGAAGTTCTTGGATGTGATGGCTGGCGCTGTCTTCTTCTTCCTGCCCTTCTCCTTTTTGGTGGTATCATCCTCGACCACCTCATCCAAGACAAACACAAGGGGTTTGACGGACTTCCAATTGCCTTCACCATCACGATCATGGTGACTCAGTTCGATCTTCGCCTTCATGGGTTCATAGTTGAAGTTATGTAGCAACTCCAAAGAAGAGTTCATTTATATAAAACAGTTCCACCATTTAACACAGTTGCACCCACCATGCCTCCCCAACATCTTCCAAGTCAGTGATGATAGATTGGAGGGTCACTGCGACTTCGGTGTTTGGCAATGCTTGGAGGTGTTGAGGGAGTGATTTTTTTCAATGATCAAGTAGTTGGCGCCAGTGATTGCAAATGAGAACCACCTGCCATTTGCAGCTCGTGTAACTTCGTCCGCCTCCTTACCAGGCAATGTAGTTGCCAATGCAAATTCAAACACTGATTGAGAATACTGTACTGTATGACCGTCGACCGTATAATACCTTTTAGGTGCTTTCAAACGGGGAGAAAATCTTGCAATGGCTGGCAAGGCGCAGCAGCGTCCCTCCATTCTCCGCTCCCAAAGCTGAACCTGGGGCATAGGAAAGGAGCCAGTGGGGCGAAGAATTCACTTTTCTTTTCCCCTAAAAACTAAAAATAAATGGCTAGAGTTTTGAAAGGACCTACTACTCAACGCAAACATAATCCAAGAAGCATCTCGCGAAGCTGAAAGAATTGATTTTGGTTCCTTGAAGAGATGTAGATCTTGTTCTCTGAGGCAATCAGATCACATGTGTTGTTGATCTGCAAGGTTTTCCTGGGTTGGTCACAACTACCCTAATAACGGTCCCTCAAAGTTCCCACACAAGTCAACAAGCTCTACTTCTTTAGGCCGTGACAAGTTTCGATTTGGCCAATTTGGTCACATCCTCAGTCTTGCAGGCCTCCAACTTGATCCGCTTTGCAGGCCGTTCCAAAGACGCCTCTTCCTCCACCTTGGGCTCAGACCTGCAACTTGGATTGCAATCCATGTGGGGACACAATGTAGAAGCCGTCTAAGTTGCCCTAAACCCCCCAAAGGATGAAGAGCCTGGATTTGGCCATTCAGCTTTTGTGGCCAAATGGTTTATCTGTGAAGAGGTCTAGATTGCTTTTCCCCCCTGCCCCAAACGTGGAAATGTCACTACTTCTTGGTTGAGCAACCCTGGCCTTTCGGCAGCCATCATAAAATCCTCAGATGCGTTGTACTCTTCATTGTGTAGTTTGATCACCTCACGGGCACGTTCATCAAATTGTGGATCGTCCAGCCAGCGCTTCGCGAAGCTCTCCAACACGAGCAACTGGTCGTGGCGTTGGCAAGTCACCCTGTAGCTTCGGGCAGCATTGGCAGTGCTGCCACTTTTCAAGGCCGACAGGATTGGATCAAAGCTGGGGAAAGAAGTAACTTGCAGATCCCCAGCCCGCGCTTGCTCATACACTGCATTGGAGAGCCGGTTCAGTAAGTCCTGGCCACTGTTGTCCAAGCACAGCGTAGTGCACATGCAATCCCGGCCCTCTTGACATTCCTTTTTTGTGTTCCCAAGACCACAGGGCAAAAAACATAGGGAAGCTAAACAACTTGTTTGCTTGCGGTTCTAGTTACTGTAATAATTTTCTTTGCCAACAAAAAATAATACTTTTTAATAACAACTCAGCATCTTTCAGGCATGCCAGGGCTGGCCATGCGTCGTACCCGTACATGTCAACCAGCACGGTGGTCTTCACCGAGCGAACCTGGAACGCCTCCAAAGTCTTTTGGATGAAGCTTGTGCCAGCGCCAACCTGTTTCAAAGCTTCTACATGTTCCCACATGGCTTAAGGGTATACTCCAAGTAGGTTGTTTTTTTTGCTGGAATTTAACCTCACCATTTTCACATGCATTCGAGACAACACAGAAAAGGCGCACCTTCTGTTCCCAAACTTCCCAAACTACAAATCAGTTTCAACTCAAGATGTATACTTGGGAAATTGTCCAAGCCAATATACAAAAAATTCACGAAGCACCTGCTTCTGCTCCTGAATGTCCGTAAATGCACGACCCAAATGAGGCAAAGCATGGGCTCTGCTCGGAGAGGCCTTGCAGGCTCGAGCCGGTCAGTGATGGGTTCCAGGATACGTAGAGAATTGGCTTTATGTGACCGAGGGTTTACCTGATGTGCAAGTTCAATTCCCCAATAGCAAAAGGTGGAGAAGTGGGGATTATAAATCAAGCCAAAGTTACTGTCTCTGGCTTGTACATCTCAGCCCTGGGACACATACCAATGCCATGGACGGTTCCCGTCTTCCATCCCCTTGTGCTGTGGAAGTAGTTCCTGGAGTCCTTGTGGGTGACGGCCAATCCAGTCAGAACACCATCACGTTTTCCGTACACCGTATCCTGACCAGGACTAAAGTCGAGCCAAGAATCCAAAAACAAAAAACACATCAATTTGAGTCGGACCTCTTGTGTGGATAACCTGGGGTACTTAGTTTTACAAAATCCAACCACCAGAGACATAGAAAAGCATTATAGAATTATGAAATACCAAAAAACGGGCTCGAAGATCCAGGTGATGTTCCGAACTTTTAGATTGCGATCTTTCAGTGCCAGCTGGGTCCTCAGATTGCAAGTCGGTTTTGTCTCACACATCGTTTGTGGTCGGTAACCTCTATTTTTACCTTACTATTGTCCCCATCGTGTGGATATTTAAGAGTGAGCAATTGGTTTGAGATGAGGGACTCCAAGTTGTATCTGATGTCTCGGACTTGGATTTCTTCCGACTCTTCCAACTTCAGGGCAGAATCCCTGTCATCATCGTCATCATTCTCGTCATCCATTTTGACATCAGAGGTGTCCTCTTTTTTTTTCGGTGTCCTCCTGCTTCGCAGATTTCCTGCAGATGGCGTGGCCCTTGAAGGGGAGCAGTCCACGCTAGAAATAATTGAAGTACAAACAGAAGTTGCTGTGTGAGGGGTTTCAACAGTCCTGATCTCTTGACCTGCTCTGTTTGGATGTACAAGCAAGCAAATGGAGTTCAAAGGGTAGTCTGAGAGCACATTCGATATGTACGTGATCATGAATCCTTTGAAGCTTGCGCTCATGATTCCCAGCACCGGACACTGCATCACCAGCACCACTCTGTGGTCGTCAGGGCCCCCATTGCTCACCTTCTAATTGAAACTTTGCTAGGCAAATCGAAAATGAGCCCTGGTTGTCAGATTGTGTTTTTTGGTAAGAATGCATTCCAAAATCATACTGTACAAAAGATGACCCCGCAAACAAGGCACCTTTGTCAGGGAATTGGAGTTTGTAATTTAGATGGTAACACATACCCTGCCTCAGAGATTGTTTCTCTCAACCACGCCCTGCTGGCCGGCATCAAAGTCCCTTCCGCTTCCAGGGACCGGCTCGAGAACACCTTGATGTGCTTCTCCATGTAGGCAGCCACCGCATCCCAAGCGCGGCTGTGGCAATCCTGGTGCGGTAGCGGGGTCCACAACACTTGGATTTGGACGTGGTTTTGAACCATATGGTGAACCATATGCCTAAGATTTGCCAATGGAGCTGGGTGGACTGACCAATGGGACAATATTCAATCACCATCAGGAAACCTCACCGACGTGTGGGAGTTTGATACTTCATTTGAAAAACTGAGTCAAGTCAACGCCTGATGTTACGGAACATGGTTGTGCAAGTGTGTGTATATATATAGTATATAATAATGATATTATACTATATAGTATATGTTTTGGATGGTCCTCCAGCTGCTTCACCAGCTTCGCCCGGGCACGGGCTCCTTCTCTCTCAGCCCTAAGAGCCACCGACACGACGCTTCGAATGCTTCTTTTGCTAGGTTCTATATAGTTCTTTCATAACCTTTTTGTCAAGTGACCCAACTGCCAAGCATCCTATAGAGAAGAAAAACATATTGAATAAACATATTCAGACAAGACCTCTCCAGAAAAGAATGGAACTTTTAAATCTTTTAAGGCAAGTCTCATCACCTTGTCGGCCATAAACTGCGTTTGGTCGGCGTGCAATTCCTCCACCCATGCGTTGAAGGCTGCCTCCATGCTTTTCTTCAAGGCATTCCTTGATTGGTCCTGATGTTTCTCCACATAAGTTTCCAGGTTCTTTCCAGTGGCCTCCAGGGTGGCTTATTTTTGAAAAACCGGCATATTGATAAACAGTCACAGACTGAACATAGTCTTCATAGTTTGGACCAGCACACCTCCAAGACAAAGCTGATCCTCTGCCATTCCAGGTTCTCCTCGGCGGACTTCATCACCGAACCAAGGTCCGAGTCCAAGTGCCTTAGTCAGTACATGTTGAATACCCGTTTTTTAAATGTTAAAATGCATAACATGTTAAAATACTTATTTTAAAGAAGTCAGGGGAAAACATCAGAATTCTATCAGACACCAATCAAACTCCAGCATACAATGAAGCTTTCAGAAGTGACGCGGTTTCTGGAAACCACATCACAAAAACCAGGTTTTCGAGGTGGGCAATCATTTGGAAGGATTGAAATCATGGTTCAAGGCATGATTGCCCCCCCCTATATCATTGATTTTGTGACGCGGTTTCCAGAAACCACATCACAATTTCAATCAAAAATTTGCCACCCAAATGTGATTGATTTGGCCGGCCAAATTTGTTTGGCTAGGTCTTCAAAATTGTGACGCGGTTTCTGGAAACCACATCACAATTTTGAAGACCTAGCCAAAAAATTTTGGCGACCAATCACACTTTGATACCTTTAGCCAAAAATATTTGGCGACCAATCACGCTTTGATACCTTTAGCATTCATGTTGGTACCTTTCGCCAATTTTGACTATTAACCATTCGTACCATTGCAAAAGGTCAGGTATCTTAACTTGTAGATAGGGCACCCTTCAGCAAATAGCTCATCATGCCGATGCACAACCTCACCGTCAAAGTTTTTGACCATCTTCTCCCTGACCCATACCCAAAGGCAGCAGTTGTCAAAGAGCACATGGTGAGCATCTTCGTTCAGCTGGTGTTGTTTCTCATCAGGGTGAAAAAGGAGAGTTGGTACCACAGTATTGAGTAATTCTATGTAATTCTACAATATGACTGGCAAACCATTGAACATTGATTGAAGAAAACATAATGATTGGTGTGACCCTCTCCTTGGCTTTCACAGTTGCTTCCCTGGATGCCCGCCTGGAAAAATCCTGGCAGGGAGTGATGAGAAAGATCAACCTTGAAGTCCCCCCAGTTGACAAGAACTATTTTGTAAACCACTGTAAATATATAAACAGTTTCAATGCAAGGTCCTGAACCACCCGCTGGAAGTATACCATCGTGATCTCCTCTGTGACGGACAAAATTTGTTGGTATACTTCTTTCCCACGATACCGCTCCAAGTCTTTCCGGGCGCAGGAGCCCGGGACATAGAAGTCCGATGTCAACAAGTCATGGGGGACTCCTGTTCAGGGATTTTTGTGGGCAGCAAATTCCAATATCCAATATCACCTTAAGTTTGAACATGTTTGAACATACAAAAGAAAACACCCATTCAAAACCGGGATTGGGATTGTTTCTTCATGTGTCCTGAGTTCTCCGCTTTGTAGCTGTCGTAGTGCTTCGCCAGCAGAGTCATCAGGTCAGAGGGGCAGCGCATCCTGGGCTGCAAGCTCCAATGCAGAGAAGGCCCGCACTGGGTTGGAACAAGAGGGAGCTAACCCCAAACGTTAGATCAGAATTGGGTGGCAGAACCCCTAAGCTCAGTTGAGCTTCAAGTTCAGCACCAGCGACTTCTTACTTGAGTCCAACCTGTGTTTCTTCACAGAAACCATCTTGTTGTAATCCGCTATGACCCTGTTCAGAATGTCACGCAGCGGTGCATTCTTGGCGTGCGTTTGACGTCGTTGAAGATCCACTGCATGTTGCAGTTCTGCCACCAGTTGTACTGGTGATGGCCCTTGCTTCTCCGCAGAGACGAAGCCCGTTTCTGAGCAAACGGTGCAAGAGGGAAACTTTCAGAATCAGGTAAGCCAAAAAACTTTGGGTGCGAACGCGGAAATCAAAGAAAACATGTTCTGGAGTAAAGTTCAAGGAAAGGCTCTCAAGGAGTACAAGTAAAAATGAGCAGGATTCTCAAAATGCTCGTAGGAACATCTGATCTGAGAGAAGCTTGCTAGAACCATCTGGAGGTGGGGATCATCAAGGTTGAGATCGAGCTCTCGTACGATGGCGACAATTGTCATCATCAGCACTATCTTGCAGTGTCCATCAGTCACCCCGACTGAAAAGTCGGGTATTTGTCTGGAACTGTCCCTGAGTGGAAATTTGCACTCCACGTTGCCGATATTGCTTTTGTATCCGAACTTGGCAAACTCATGGAAGTGTGTGGTCAGCTGAGTATTCGCCGGAAAGACTGCAGGGACATGTGTTAAACATGAACACCATGTTCCAAACTAACTAACAACTAGTTGAAAACTGAACGGATTCCTGTTGATTACTTCCAACCCTCAACTGTAAGAACCCTTTTCAACCCCGCACATCCGTTTTTTGCGGTTGCAGTGTAGTCGAAAGCCGACAAGGGCAACCAAAACTCATCCATCTTCTCATTGGGGGTGAGTTGGAGAAACAGCTTGTCATACTTTGCAGCTGGGTTGGTGTGGACCAAGTCGAAGATTGCCTCAAACGAATCTTATGGGGATAGGGCGGCAGAAACATACTGATTTTATTTGCCAGAAAATATTGAGGGCGATGCAGACTTCAGCTTTGCTGGATCATGGAATGTCTCCGCCAACCAGGCTCCAACATTTCTTGTAGCCGCAACCTTGGTAGAGCTGCATTAAACATAGCATAGCTCTTAGTTTGGACATGGAATTTCAGACCGACGGAGGACGGATAGTCAAGCTAAGTAGCTGAGTCAAAGTAGGCTCGAACTTGATCCATGGGACCATTTGGCACTTCTGGCTCACCCTCCATTTTCCAAGGAAAGGCTTCCTACCCAGCCCACCCAACTGCCACCAACACTGAGCCAAGTTGCCCAACAATGGGAAATTTCAATATTGTTATTTGATGTGCTGACAACACACTGGCTCACACTGCTTGGACAAGATTCATTTCTATTTTTATCAAGCTCAGCACCCCAGAAGCTAGTTTATCGGAAGTTCCCCTTGCTACACACGAGCACGATGAAAAACAACTTGGAGCTCGTGTGGCTTTGGACCACGTGGCCTTTGGCCAACCCCAACAGCACCCCAATCTCGGCGACCGTCTGTGCTTGCACGACGGAGGAAGCTCAGCTGTGGCACCCGCCCGCTAGGCCGGGTCGAGGCAATCATGCTCTCATAAAAAGCCAGGGTGCGGTTCATTTGTGGAAAATCCTTTCCCAAAGCAATCTTGAGGGTACGAAGTTCATCCCGCCTTTCCTGTTCCAAGTGGCAGGTTCGTACAGGACAATTGATGTCATTTGCGCGATTCAACATCTGTTGGCTCTTTTCAAGGAACATCCCAGGAAGGACCAATAACGGGGGCTGAGAAAGCCCATCACTGGCCATTCGCTCCTTAATCATTACAAAAATATCATCCATTGCATTTCCTGCTCGCATGGCCCTGGGTACCCGGTCACTCAATTCAAGGTTCCTTCCTTGGTCGGGAATACCTGCAACAAAGGTTTTTCCAGCCAAAATGGGAGTAAGAATCAAACAATATGAAGTTGAGAAAATGAGACCTGGCCTGCTCTGGCCATAAAGCTGAATGACTGCGGCAGCGGAGTGCCGTCCATGTTGTCGATCCATTTTCTGGCTCTGAACGCATTCTTGAACGATACCTCATCCGGCAGGATCGCCACCCAGTCGCGTACCTGGGCCACCCGGTCGATATTTCAGAGTAACCTGATCCTTTTTTTGTTCAATAAGCATGTGCTTAGATACAGCCTAGCTACGGTGTCCACTATCTCAATGGAGAACACCTGACCCTTCTCCCGCCACAGATGACTCAGTTTGGACTCTATCCTTCGTGCAACGTCAGCAGGTGTTTGTAGAAATTGGGACTGACATGTCCGGAGGGCAACCGCCACCAAGCTGAAAACAGCGTCGACATCTTCGTGCGTATGGCCGACCTGCAGGTGGTGACATGAAGCCACCACCCACAGGCCGGCCTGTGTCATCGTTGACAACATCTTGGTCGTGTTCTGGTTACGGACCTCTTTGACAGTGTTGTCGGCTTGGATCCATAACCTGATAAGTAAGGCAGGTCACAAGTAAGGTTAAACCATTCAATAGATACAGATAGGTAGGAAGGTTAAACCTCCAAGCAACTCGGATGGGTAGGCTTTGTTCTGGGCCCTCGCTCTGACAAACACTCCATCCAATGCCCTCATCACCTAAGAAGTTCACTGAGTATTCCCCAAAAAAGTACAGCAGAGTTTTTATTCCTGCACTGCACCAATACATTCTTTGAAAACCAAGAGTCGCATTCCCAGTTCCAATTACTTCCAGCAGACATGCCCTCTTGTGCGGACAAGAACAGCCAAATTCCGTGTCCATGGCAAAGGACAGCAGTTAGGACAAGCGACGCTCCTTAGGTGGAACAGACGTCAACGGGAAGTGGACGGATAGTATTCCCTTAGGAGTGATTAAGAAAAAACAGCAGGATTTATCAAAGTCTCGCTGCATGGTTTCGTAGATTGTCCTCTTAGGACACCGGCCCAGGGGCCACATCGGTAGTTGAAGCTTTGATCTGTCAAATGAATCTACGATTACACAAAGGAGGTCACCCTCTGTGGCACTTCGAGCACGTGCCGACCAGTAGATCCTGCGATCCTTGTACTGGTCGTGGTAGTGGGACAGTAACTGATTGCAAAGCCGTGAATGTTCACCAAAGTCCTAGTCAAGTGGCAACATCCAGTAAAGGTTGTTGGATTGTTGGTTTGCTCAACTACCTGCTTTCTGATTGATGTCCCAAACTGAGGCTAGTTCCACTGCATTGTTGATAGCAGCTTTCAGGGTTTGGCAAGTCACACACATGGCATGTTCACTCCGACGTCTAAACCTAAGACATGTAGACCAAGTGTTGTAGACGTTGTAGAAGGTGCTTTTCCCACACGGATTTTGCATCGATCCGGCTTTGCACCAAGCCAGGTACATCAGGAATAAGGATGCAGTGGTGCCTGGCGGCAGCTCTCGGAGAGGCAGTTTGCCAGGGTCCATGGCTTCCATGATTTCCACTGTGGGACCACTCAGCTTCCTATTGATCAGTTTTCTCGTCAATTCCTCCTTTAAGTCCTCTTCTTCACGTGAAAACTCAGCATCGGAGGAGACAAACCTAAGATTTCTTGACAAATGGATTTGAGTGAGCTGAGAGCAGTAGAGCGAGTTTGAATAAGCCAAATTGAAAAGATAAGTCACTTTGTCGGCATGGACTCGCCGGCAGTGTAGTACAGGTGAGTGAAGAAGGTATGAGCTGATGCACTTTGCTCAGCAGCTCGTGTGGTTTCTCCTAGGTCCCACTGCTTACACCCAACATGTTTCATGATTGCACCACCCCGAGCTGACACATAACCTGCAGCCATAAGTCCTTGGCTGATGGTTCTCTCATCGATCCCATGGTAGGCCCTTTTGCAACGTTCAAGTCTTTGCTTTCCAACTCCCAAATATCGGGTCCACGCCACCCTACACAAAGGGTGTCCTGGGAAAACTGGCAAAGAACAATGTGTCTTAGCTATTTGTATTCAATGAAGTCTGTCCTTCAATGCTCCAGGTCCTCTTCAATGACCCTCCCTCAGCCTGAAGTGTCCAAAGCAAAGCATCCTGGCTTTGCTTTGGCAGACTCCAGAAGCCCTCGCAGGCCTTCTTCAAGACTGATGCTGGTAGCCGGCAGGCGCAACTACAGGGCGGGTGCTTCAAGACAGCGGATATTCGGGCAGGGTCAACCCCATGGGCAGCAAAGCTGGACTCATCAGACTGTTCATTCAAAGTGTGCATACCATAGAGTGTGGCCAGTTTCAAATCTACCTGTTGAGCAACTGGTGGCCCGTTGTGACCTTCGTCATGCTCATCTGTCCTAAGATAGGGGAGTAGGGGAACTGGAAAACCCCGGATTTCATTTGCTTTATATAATAAATATACATATTATCTGTTTCATGCATTTTTGCTGTCAAGATTCGAAGACGAATCTGATTCATATGATTCCTCAGAGGTCTCGTCATATCGCCACACTGTGCCCCCTCGAGGCTTCAGCTCATTTGCGCCAGCATCGTACCGGCTCAGGACAGGCATAGCTGGGGTGAAGAGGGACGACTTTTAGATTTCCCCCTCAAGGGAAATAGGTTTTGAACATGGGAACGACCAGCAATAATCAAGTCTGATCAACAGTCCAAATTTTGTTTCACATTGCGTTGTAAACAAACAGGCGGAACATGGCGGCCATGTTTTCCATTCCCCCGCAACTAACAGCTTTCTGCAACCCTGCTTGAATCCCCTACTATACGATGTAGCCCTTTACATAGTGTGGATTCACACTCTTCAGGGCCACTGCAATTGCAACCATCACGCTGCGTAGCGTCATGCCGTTCCCAGCCAATTTGAAAAGCTCCTTAGTTACTGTAGTTTCAACTCAGCTGCTGCTAAAGTTCCTGTCAAGACACGCGATCGGAGAACATGCTGGTGTGAATGTCGTCGACCGGCATGCCATGCAGCAGGAGTGCCTCCACCCCTGAGCGTGGCTGGGGGCTAGGAAGATAGCTTGAGAGTTTGGACTGCTCGACATTGCTCGACCCTCCTGCCTGTCAAGTAGCGACGCTGGGGCCCTAAGAAGTACTTCCCATTGGGCCTAGGGTTGCACGCATGTACCATCATGTACCTATTGGTTGGAGCTTTCTGTTTCATGTCAATATATATACTGAGAGAGAGGCGTTAGGCATGGCAATGCGGAACGCCCCTTCACCACGCCCATTCTGTGGAGCATTTGGCTGGTATTCACGCAAGCGAGGTCACGTCCATACTTCTTTGCCAGCAGGTCCAATGCCTAGCAGAAGAGGAAGAGAGAACCCACAAAACCAAAAAAGGAGTGAACACATACTACATAAGTGCAACAAACAAGCCTCAAGTTCCCTTTTGGTAGTAATTTGATCATCTCCTCCCGGGAAGGCTCTCTCGAAGCATCCTTTTGCGATCTTCACCTGACAGGAACATCTGCCGGAGTTGTTGGGGAGTTGAAAGGTTCTTTTTATTGAACATCCATGTTTGGAATGAGGGCCTTGATCCCATTCTTTTTGGCCCAGGTCTTGTGAACTTTCTTCCATTTGGATCCAGTAGTTGGGTTCCTTATATGGCACTAGCGCATTCAATTCCGGAACACACCTCAGATGTGAACCAGTGTGTTTGTAGAGCCAAGAGTCCTGGTGTGGAAGAAGCATTTCTTTCGGTTGGACCGCTTGTTCATGGTGTTCTGCACTACGGGGTGGTGTTTCTCCAAAAGCAGATCCGTCCTTAGCTGTGTGACTATGTTTAGCTATTTGTAGTTGTTTGGTGGGATGGCAAGAGACGATATATAAATAAGCCTAAGCACCAGCATACATCCGGGGGGCACCGCAACTGCTCCAAGATCTTTTCACAGAAGCTGGCAAAGTCGGACTTTGCAGCTCCAACCATCAATTCATCTCTAACAAGTAGTATATAGAGCCTTTTGCGATTGACCGGATGGCCAAACTCTTTCCTCAGGAGAGCTGGTGGCCATGATGGTCCAAGATGGAACTCTTGAAAGTTCACTTTTGAATGAACCGAGGAACCCATCCAGCTCCAGGAATGCCACTCGGTACCTTGTCCCAGAAAATCCAAAACTCCCCCAAAAATCACAGTGACACAGAATTTATCATTAAACTCCAAGCTGCTCTGGCAACTTGTCATTCAGCAGCCGTTGGAATTCGTTTTTGACCCGGTTGAAACCAGGCACGTTCTCCAGCAATCCAATCTCAGTCCATAATTTATCCAAGCAAGGACCAGCTAAGGATTAGCATCTCTTTACATTCAATAAGAGTTCCCTTCAATTAGTTGTCAAGAAACAGCCGGTTGACAGTCTGCCAGGTTCTCCAAGACCCGATACATAGGACGAGCATCTTCTTCTTCCAAAAGCTTGCTACCCCAATGTAGCAAGCTGAAGGGGGTGCACGGAAATCCAGCCGCGTACAAGCAGACCTCCCGAGCATATTGTCAAGCAGTCCAAACTGACCGTCAGTTTCAAGCTCATGTGGTGACAAGCGCCTTACGACGCAGCTGCTTGAAGTTGGTCTCGAAAATGTCGCTGCTGGACCTGGGAAAATATGAAAAATGGGTGGGCTGGCACAGGGTCCTTTTTTGGTTAAACACAGAACGCACAAAAGAGTCAAGTGGCCCATACACAGGCTTTGGTTGGTGGAGCTCCAAGAACCTTCTGGCAGTCGCATCCCGCTCGCTGTTGCACCTCACAGTCTTGCGGGCAGGGTTTGGAGAGTAGGAGTGTCAGACACTTGGTACCAAGGGGCATATAGGTCAGATAGCGGTACTTGCTGGATGGGAACAGAATCTGGAGAGCGGTCAACGGAGTGTCCATTCCAGAACCTGAGTATTAATGAATGCAACAATCCCAGAGAATGTGAGATTTAAGAAAACCAGGTGGCAATCTGAGGCGTAGGTGAACTTGCCACTCCAGTGACTGAAGAACCAACTCAAACCTTCGCTCGGGCGATAATTTTGTTGAGTGGATGTTCCTAGAACATCTTGACATATATTGACACATTGCCTGCTTCATCTCGAATCTTTGCACCGCAATAGATGAAGTCAAACTGCTCCACAGTTAGGGTTATGAACTCTTCCTCCCAAGAAACAAAATGTGATCCACATGTTACCCCAACTAGAAACTAATTCGTGAGTCCTCCTCTTCCTCATCAGATGATGAACAATAACGCCAGACCACCATGGCACAGCAGGGGGAAGACAGGGACGGTGGCGAGCCCCAACGGCAGCTGCTTGGTCGCGGGCAAAACTCGCTTAAAGCTAAGCCCCAGATACTAATTGGAAGATCCCTGGTTGCAATCGGAACTCCATTTTTCTTTCAGTGCACTCGTTCTTCACCACGCAACAGCTGCCACAAGGCGCTGGAGTGGTCCGGACTCGTCTTTGTGTAGCGAGA